AAAAAAAAAAAAAAAAAAAAAAAAAAGAATGTAACCTAGGTTTTCTAAGAATTTTATAGCTTTAATTCTTTGTATTATTTCTATGATCTATTTGTGTTAATTTTTAAATGATGTGAAGTTGGGGGTCCAGCTTCTTCTTTGGTTCTGACTTCATTCAGAAAATTTTTTTTCAGCACTAGGCATTCAGTGCAAGATCTTCACACTGAGCTACAGCCCAAGACCTTTTAAGTTTTCTTCTGAGGTGGGCTCCTCCTCTTAATTCACTGAGATGTCCCAGGCTGGGCTCAAACTTGCAATCCTCCTTCCCCAGCCTCCCAGGATGCTAGGGTTACAGGCATGAGCCCAGCTTCTATAACCCTTCTTAAGCTGGTTCTCTCTTAGCCCTGTGGTTTCATCTTCTGCCTCACCCCATCCTCACCCACATCTACTGAATGATTGCTTCTTCTCTCTCCTGGACTGCATCTCTCTGTGCTGATTGTTTTTCCCCTATTGCAAAATCTCCTTTTCCCTCTAGCCACACTCCTAGCTGTCTTCTCTGAAATGACCTGGAAGATCTAGGCATGGGTGCCACAACTTCCAAAAGGCTTTTCATAAGTCCCCAAGACTGCTTTCTTATGACGTCGGTTCTAGACTCTGCATCACTTCCCCACTCACTCTCTTCTTACATTATGCCTCACCCCACCTCTGTGTATGAACACACAATACCCTGTGTTTGAGCTGATTCAAGCATCCCAGAAATCTAGATTTTAGGCATGACCGAAAGATACCTAGGAGATACCCTAGGAGAGTACATCTTAGTAGCACCGAAAGAGTGGGTCTTCTCTCTGCCTTTCCTTCCCTCCTACCTCCCCTGTGTCACTCATCCGGGCTAGAATGAAACAGCTCCCGGTTTTATTTGTTGTACTCTTACTGATTTCACCATCGACCCTGATCCTTCTTTTCCTCCGTGGCATCTTTCTCCCAGAGGTAGATATGCCTGATCATGAGACCACCAGCTTGACGGGCTTTCACCACCAGCCTCACGCAGCTCACCGGGTATGACGCGCTTTCCTGCGGGATCTCCCGGTCCATCTGCCCCTCCACCAGCCAGCCGAGCAGCTCAGAGCTGGCGCAGTCCTGCGGCATGCCCTGGGGGTCGTAGCCCAGTTGCACCTGCCCCTTGCTCAGGGCGAACTTTCCTTCCACGATGGAGCCGGTCATCACCTGCACTCTGCTCAGCCTCGCTGGGTGGTTCAAAACCACCGTCAAGTGGTTCCCCGGGCGGATGTCGTTTGTCCAGAAGAACGACTCGTCCAGAGCGTAGGCCTCCCAGGGGAAGTGAGTCCCAGAAAGGTTCATATCGGTGAAGACAGACGCAGGGGGGTTGCTAGGGCCGTAAGGGTTCTTTTTCTGAACGACTGTGTCCTCCTTGCCATCGAAGGTGGGGCGGGATGATCTGTGGTAGAAGAGGAATGGTCTGCAGAGGATCGGGTTTTCCTGGACCAGGAGGGTGCGGAAATGAAGGATCAGCTTGTCCAGGGGCTTCTCCTTGTGGAAGAGGAGGAGGAAGTGGGCCAGGGCAGGGAGGTCCCTGCTATGGAAGAGCTTGCCAATGAGGCCCACGTTCGAGAACTCCAGCAGCACCCACGGGCTGGGCTTCAGGGCGGTCACCTTGGAATAAATGTGGGTGACAAAATTGGGGGCACAAAAGACAGTGTCCCCTATTAACAGGAAGTAATCAGAGAGCTTTGCGGCGAAGCTCATCAGGAAGGCGTGGTCTACGTTCTGCTTAGAGTAGCCTTTCCCGTGGTCGGCCTCAGCAACGGCACCGGCACCAGGGCTGCCATTCACAGTGGGGTAGGCAGCAGGCGGAGCATGGATCAGCAGCAACTGCCCGGCCAGGATCTGCGAGCTGAAGAGGCTTGAAATACGGGCAGTGGTGTCTTTGAGCCAGGCGAGGTCGGAATCTGCCAGGTGGACCAGCACGGTGAGGCGCTTCTGCTCGGCCGTGGAGGAGGCGTTGTACAGGGAGGCCAAGGTGTACAAGAGGCTGCTCGGATCCTGCCGTGACACCGTGGAGATCCCCACTGTCAGCCACGCTAAGGAGAGGTGGAGTAGGGACAATTGTCAGTGTAGGGTGGAGGCGCCAGCTGTCAGAAGGATTAGTGGAGGGGACGCTGTCTGGGGTCTTCTCTCTCTCTTCCCTCCTCTATTTCCTATCTGTTTTTTCCAGTGGCAGAGGGGATGGCTACACCCCTGCTACGCTAAGTGTGGTCCTTAGTCCAGCACGTCAGCCTCATCTGCCAGCTTGAGACACGGAATCTTGACCCCTTCCTCAGACCTGCTTTACCAGTATCACCAGGTGACCGTGCACGCACCGGAGTTTGGGAAGTGCTAAGCTAGGTGATTCTTGGCCCCTGTGGGTCCCTTGACTCTTTGAACCTCAAACTTTGAGGCTCATCATTTAGGTGCTGAGTACATAGCTATTATTTTAGTTATTATAATTGTTTTGTTTTTACCCAGTTCATCCTCCCAAAGGCCGTCTTTGAAGAAATAGATTAGGAAAGGGATTTTCCCTAGCAGTCAGGAGCCCCACCCCATTGCACTGTTGGGGATTGAACCCCGGGTCTTCACACTGAGCTATTCTCCAGCTCTTATTCTATTTCTTTCTTTCTCACTAAGTTGCTAGGTTGTCCAGGCCGGGCTAGAACTTTGATCTGCCTGCCTCGGTCTCCCAGAGTGCTGAGACTGTTACGTGTGGACCAATGTACCCAGCCAGCCCTGGGGTCTGGTCCCAGTCCTGCCGCCGTGTGATCTTGAGTGAGTTCCTTCACCCCTGAGTTTAGGTCTAAATCCAGAGAGGCGAGAGAGTTGGACTACGCGACTCTTCCAGATGCCGTGTGACGGGGAGGTGCTGGTGGTGCAGAGTGAGCAGAGCTGCCTTTTGCGTGCGCCTAATCCAGCGAGTTCACCTTCTGATAGCAACTCTTTCCTTCCAGTGAATCTGCCCTTTCCCACGTTATGCATTTTATTTATTCTTTGAATTCCTCTACCTAAATGTGCATGTAAACAACCATAACCTCAACTCCTTTCATTTTAATACTTTGTCTTTTCTTTCCACTTAGCTGCCGTAAAACTGCATAGTCATCCATTCCTAGGGTCAATCACAATTGCAGATTCAAATACAAGGTCACCTAAAGTAAGAGTCCTGTTCATTATTGCTGACCCAGTATGCACACGTAATCTTGCAGACCAAAGTAAACACATTGAAATGTTCAGTGATGCTTTATAATACTGATCAGCATATTGATTCCACCTTCTTATAACAACTAACTTCATCTATTTCCTGCTTCTTCATATCCCAATATATCGATGTCTCAATTCTCCATCTTTCTGTCTCTAACTTTCCCCCTCTGCCTTCCAGTACCAGAAATGGAACCCAGCAGTGCTGTACCACTGAGCTACATCCCTAGCCCTTTTTATTTTACTTGGAGTCAGGATCTTCTCACTAAATTGCCCAGGCTGGTCCTGAATTTTCCATCCTCCTGCCTCTGCCTCCCAAGTAGCTGGGATCCCAGATGAGTGCCACTGTGCCCCGCTACCTCACTTCTCCTGATGTCCCTGTTTCCCCAGGAGGCACCATCCCTCCCTCTCCTTAGCACTCACTCCTCCTTCTCTTTGGGATTTTTTGTGTATATTTGAAGGTGACCGCGTGCCAGTCTTCCAGTGGCCTCGGGTTCTTCCTGTCATAACTGGTCTCCTGGGGCTTTGACAAAGGCAAACAGAAATCCTTCTGTAAAAAGAACAGCATTTATCCCCAGTGGCTTCTCACAAGCTTTCGGAGGGAAAAAGGTGGAGTGGATCGCTCCTCCCAGAGCGAGTCCAGCCCACGCTCAGGATGCTGAGCCACTGGCCAAGGGATCCGGGCTCCAGCGGTACCCACTCCCCTCGGACCTTAACAATCACGAGAAGCAAGTGCAGCTTCTTCGTGGGCCCCAACTGCACCCGCTCCGGTGGAAATGTAAGGGAAGAAGGAAAGCCCGATGCTTTGGGGAACCCACCTGTCCTCGCCATCCCCACCCTGCACTCCGATTCCCAACCGCGAGCCGGGGTGCTGCTCGGCCTTTCATGGGCATCACGTCTCCGCCGTCTTCAGCCCCCCTGGGGATCTGCAGAGTGATGAAGAGCCACAGGAGCGCGATGCCCGCAGAGGCTGCGAAGCAGCTCCTGCTGGAAAACCGCATTGTGTCTGCCCTGGTGCGGCTCCTACAACAGGAAGTCAGTGCACACAGCGGAGGATTCCACCCGTCCTGTCCATGCCCAGAACTTCCTTCTACTCTTTGAAAGCCCTACACACACCCCACCCGGACATTCATCCCTCCTGGTGACCACTGCTCACTTATGCGCAAACCTGCCCTCCCTCCGACCCAGGAACCTGACTGGATGTAGCCTTGTTCCCTGCCTAAGGCAGAGAGGTTGCCTGTCCTGTTCTGATGTCCTCTGTCTTCGTTTGTAGCTTGCTTTGGAGATTCAGCATCTGCAGTTTCCCCACCCAGATGACCAGGGCTGGCTGGGCATCAGTGACAGGGCCAGTTCCTCTGAGAAACACGTGCTCATGGCACCCCACCCCACCTTTCCAACAAAAGTCAAATTGTTCCTTAAATTAGCTGAAATTGGAGGTTCCTGAGAGCTATGCTAGATTGGCACCTTCCTTGGTTTTTAGACAAAAGACAGGCTCGGCATTTCCATCCGTAATCTTACTCATGGGCCTTGGCTAGAACAGGATTCTGTTAACGTAGAGTAAAGCCATCCTTACTGGGTGTTGGGCTGTGGAATCCAGACTGGCTCAGCCTCAAAGCGCTCGCACGCTGCCCTCTCCCTCTGAGGGTGTCTTTCTCAGTGAGAACAGACTTCTCGACTGCTCCTGGAATCCCAAGGAAAGGCTCTGATACGCTCTGTCCCCGCTCTCGGTTCTCTCCCCGCAGGTGTAACCCGTGGGCTCTGTGCTGCGGAGGCTCCCAGTTGGGGAACTGTCCAGGTTAGGGTTTGGGTAGAGGCCCAGGTACCTTCTCTCCTGAAGCCATGGGGTTTCTAATAAGGGTTATAAAAAGAATATTTACAGCTGGGTTGGTGCTGCATGCCTGTAATCCCAGCACTTTGGGAGACTGAGGCAGGATAGCAAGTTTCAGCTCAGCCCGGCAAACTTAACAACTTAGCCAGAACTCTTTTCTAAAATAAATAAATAGTTGGGGCTTTAGCTCAGTGCTTCTGCTGCCTGTCTCGCAACCGCAAGGTCCTGAGTTCGATTCCCGGTATCCAAAAATAATAATAATTGATAAATAAATAAAATAGGATAGAGATGTAGGTTAGTGCAAAGGCCCTGGGTTCAATACCTAGTAAGTAAATAAATAAATGTAGTAAAGTTTTACAGATTACTTTTCTTACCTGGTTTCTTTCAGCAAAGACTTTGTCATGCAAGTGATTCAGTTATAAACGTCCATGTGAAAGAAAGGACTTCTCATGCACTGAAGACAGTGGCTTCCCAACTGCGGTTAAAGGGTCACTGTCCAGCCGAGTGGAAGGGCTGCTCTCAGTCACCCTCTGAGTTCCCTGGGCTTCCGGAAGAGGCCTGGGCCAGGCGATCAGGCACCCAGGAGCAGTGCACAGAGCGGAGCCGGCCCAGCCAGGGGCCGAGGCCCTGCAGTCTCCACCCAGGTCGCCCTCTGTGATGCTCCCCTTGTGTCCTCACCTCCGGCCCCAGCATCACAGCCACACAAGCTCCGACTCGGCTTCACCGTCAGGCACTGCTGAACACCTCGTCCTGTGGACCTGCAGCAGAGACCAGAGATGGAGTATGGCCGGCCCCACCCACCCCTCCTCCAGGTCCCTGCAGCTCTGCCGCTCTGTCCTTCCCTCCCCTGGGTCCCACGACACTTGAGCCAGGACCGCACAGCTCCCCATCTTCTCAAGGACTCCCCTGCATGCCTCTTTCTCTTGCTCCTGATCCCCTCTCTGTCTCTACTGGGCCATCCCATCACTACGAGAAGATCTATTCTCTTCTACCGGAAAACACAGCCGAAAGGGAAAGGCGGCCGGACTGGTTTCACGTCCTGCCTCACTTCTCTGCGGCGCTGTACCGCAAAGGCCCTGGACGGTGTGGTCTCCCTCGGTTGCCATTCACTGCCCACTCTCTCCGCTCGGCTCGCTC